TATGCATAAATTTGGTTCAGTACTTCGCTAGCACAAAGAGTAAATTACTCTCTTTTTTCCCTCTTCTCTACAGGGTAACATGCCTTGACAAGTACAGGCCACCATTAAGGATGATGCATTCCGTTTGTTACCTGACAGAAATATTGCAATAATCTCTGCTAAAAAATGTTAAAAGCAAATCCTGTGACACTTCTCCAAACTCTGAAGGAATAAGAACGCAAGTGATTTGCACCTCTAATAATAAGATATGAAACTCTGCTCTCAAATGTCAATAGCTGCAGGCTATTGATTCATTTTGTATTCAATAAATACATTCATTTCCTCTAAGTATGTCTTTTGCATATTATAAACACTCACTTTTAATAGTAATCAGTTTCCTTAAAGAAAACTGAAGATATATTTTGACATTTAAAAATGTATGTTTTAAACTTTAACCACACTCACAAGAATTACAGCTTTAGGCCAAAAAACCAGCATCCAAAGATCACTACCACCAGGTGCTTCCTGGCATTCCTACAGAATGCCTAGCCAAATTAGTGGGTATCACACAGGTAATCCAGTGTGCCAAAGGAATCGTCTTTGGAATGACAAATCTAGCTAAGGTAGAGCTGCAATAACTGCATCACTCTCTGCTACAGGCTGCTTCTTCCTTTCAGACTCCTGCTCCTCAAGAGCTGTCCTCAGCTCAGACTCAAGATGATCTTCCCCACAGGCAGCACCATTACTGCCACTGCTTCCCTCTGCAGCTTCTTAATTGTCTCCAGCCATGAAATGAGCATCTATAATTGTGTGAGAGCATTACTTTGCAATAAACTTGGCCTTTGTAAGTCTCCTTGTTTCTATCCAGTATCCCCCAGCAGGCATAAGAGTGCATCCCTGAAACTGAGACTGTTCAGTAGCCTCCTCCAACTCCTCCTCCGGTGCTTTTGCTGGCCTGAGGGGCACACACTACATTCTAAGCCCATGTGTTGTCTGCAACAGTGAACCTCAGCTTGCTTTGCTACAATAAAACAAATCCCCCAGAAAACCCACCAGCAAAAAATTAGCATAATTTCAGATTTTCATGAAGAAAATCTAACTTAAATTTATAGCTCTTCAGAATTTCTTTCCATGTCTAACTCATCAATATATTCATACCTTGCAAGACAGCATCAGATCTGCAGAGAATTCTAACGTTATTTGCAAACTTACTTATCAGCATTAGAAACACTACTTAGAAATATCTGGGTTTTTTCTTTCAGCACTTTTCTTTCACTTCATCATTTATGAGCCATCATTTTCCTGTGTACGCAAATATCAGACCATATCACAGGTTTCTTTGTCACATAAAAATAGATCCAGAATTTTAAAATTAAAGTTACTAGTAACAAACACATGGCTTAACTCATCTAACAAAGTGTCAGTTAATTTTTTTCCATATGCTCAGAATCTGAATTAACTACAGAGCATTCAGCATTCAGAGCATTTCAGCACTGGTGAAATAGTAGAGATCTCCAGAGTGAACCAATTGGTGCTCAGAATCTGAAACATCTATCTGGGGAAAAAGCATCATTTCAGGCTAGATCTTTCCTGGTTCTGAAAACTGAACTCCCTCCCATGAGCAGCTGCGCATCCTGGGCAGATTTGCTTCAAAGTGTATTTATGATCCGAGTGAAAACTTTAATACATGTACACTTAAATTAAAATGGTATTAATTTTTTTTTTGACAATTCTCTTTTCTAGTAGTCAAACTGAAGCACATTCATACCTTAATACAGGTTTTGTAAGCTGTAAAACTATAAAAACAAATTATATTTCAAGAAATCTAAAAACTTCCAAAACAGGAGGTCAAAGATATTAAAAGGTTAAAATACATCCAGTATGGTAAAACCAGCATTTTTATTAATAAAGTCCTAGGGTGTGCTTTGAGTTACTCAGGGGTTTTGTATACCAGTCAATCCATCAATAACAACCTGAAGAACACAAAATACATTTTTTTTCCTAGAAGATTATAAATAAATATGAGACACTTTTCCATTAAGGAAGTTACTTGCAGATATCTTTTTAATGCCATCAGTTTTTCTAATTTAAATTCTATTATTAGAGAATCATTAAAATTCCAAGCAGATAATTCAGTATACATGAAATGGGACATGGGACAGGCCTTTTGTGACACAATTAAGCCTGTTCCTTTCAAGGGCAACATCACAGAAGGTGAACACTAATTTTACTAACATAGTAAAGGAGGATGAATAACTGTGGGAAGGAAGAAAAGCAAAAGCAAATGAAAAAGGGCAACTTTTTTTTTTTTTTGCTGTGAAGTTTGTCATATTTAACTTTAAATTTCTAAATAGGTTATTACAGGGACAGCAATTTGCATAAGAAGATTAAAGATTACATGAAATGACAATGACTGCTCTGCAGCTATAATGTGAACAAAGCAAAAACAGTCTTTGAACCTGCCAAATGAACTTTAATGAAATGATTAATGACATCTTGGTAATAGCACATGATGCATAAATTACCCTCAACACTAGATGTCAGTTTTCACTTTGGAAAATTCACTTAAAATGTCTGCACTTCTCCATATGAAAGCCAGAGTTCCATGCAAATTAAAAAGGAAAGGTCACAACACTCTTTTGCTTCACTCTGAAGTACTTCTTCAGAACACATCAAATAGTTTTTTATCAGCTAGGAGAACTAAAACCACCATAAAATTATAGCTCAAACCAAAACAATTTAAATATTTTTGAGAATAGCTGTTCTTAAGAAATTCAAATCAACACTGCCTTATTTGGCTCAAACTACTGGTCAGGAAGCACTAAGTATACTATACATTGGTTTTAGTTTACACCAAATATTAGTAGCTATAGAAACTGGTATCTCATTTAATAAATTCATTAAAGTATACATGCAATTGCAATATATATATTAAAAAAACCCATACAATCAGTTTTTTGTCACCCAATACTTTTCTTAGTACTAACAGCCACCCTTTCCATTACCTCACGTAACAGATCAGAATGGTTTAAAGGTAGAAAGGAAAGGTTTACTAACCATAAAGAAAGTACTCTTGAATATTAAGACTGATGCACACCAGGACAAGGTAAATCATATGAAAAAACAGATGCAGCCTGTGGATTTTGTGGACAGATGCCGATTACTTGCATAATTTTTGGGGAACCTGAGTAGTTGTGCACTGCAGCTCAGATCATCTACCAACTAGCACAATGCTAGAGGAAATGCCATTATTTCCTCTAACTATTAGTTAATACTGAGTTTAGTTGATACTAACTCAAGTCAACAAACCCAGGAAGGAGTGGACAAACTTAATTTTCACCCTGAATAGAGGAAAAAGAAAAGGCCTACTGGAAGTTAGGGGTTTTTCCTTTTGTTTTCTTTCTCTTAAAGAACTATCTCCCATTTTGTTGCTAAACGACAATAATTTAGTCAACAGAAAAAAGAAGTTGCCCTGGGAAAGGTGCGGTTGGCTAGGTTGGCTACGAGCTCTTTCTTGCTCTCTGGGCTTTGGAGGAGAATAGTCGGTGAAATGACCAGGAATGCCATCTGGGAGTATGTTTGTTCTGTAAGATAGCGACTAGAAAAATTATTTGGCTATAGTTATACAAGCCTATGGTTAAATTAAAACTTAACTCTATGAAGAGAAAATACTAAATGAAACAAAAAAGGCAGGAATAAGAAACTGCCTATCTTCAAAGTAAGCAACAGAGAATGAAGAATGAATGCTGTTTTACAGATTAGGTGTGTTCCAGTTTATCAGAAAATAAGTAAGATAATGTGATAATATTCTATACTATCGTTTTACATTTACTAAAAATAGGGCTGCTCTCACATTATGTACAGTCAGAAAACAGAAAAAGCATTACACCTTTAAAAGAAACACGTATTAAAGAGAAAGAGAAATTTGCAAATAGGCTTAAAAAGATTTCATTTTGAGCTTGAATATCCCTTATTTGGAGCTTAAACCATTTATTAAAAAAGAATTACTCACACATCAAAATTACTGTCCTATGCTTTCTCATGTGATCTACAATGAATGTAAACAAAAACTTAGGAAGCATCAGCTTGGTAATTGGCAAGATTTTAACATAAAATGTGTATTTCCAATGCCCCATTCTTAAAATTTTAAAATTGTATAGAAGAGTTAAGTGCAATTTTGAGAAAAAGAACATGCTTGACTTTCTTAGGATTATTAGCAGGAAAGAACTAGGATCCTGGAGTAGGTAAAGTAGGTAACTAATGGTCAAATATAAATTGTCACACTTCCTAAAATTATGTTGAATCAGGCCTGAGACCAGTCTTAAAAAAATAAATACATCAAGAAAAAAAGGCTTACCCATAGTTAAGATGCAAAGATGCAAGTGGAGTTGGCGTATGAATGAAATAACAACTAGATAGATACTAACTTTAAAAACTGCTGGAAGAAGTCAAGGAGACTCTTGAAACATACAGTTTAATACTTAGCCCTTTTTATTTCCGTCCTGAAAGACTTTCCCTGATTAAAAAGGGAATTTTTGTTTTAAATGTTCATTGATGGTGGAATATTAGTTCATTTTCATGTGTCTAACTTATTTTTGCGATATAAAATAGGGACAAAATGCAGTTGTATTAAGTTTTCCAAATTTCATGATACCTTCCCCATTATATAAAATAAAATTTTTACTTTATAGAAGGAACAGCAATGAACTACTACTTTGAATTACTTAGTAGGGCAATCCAAGTGTGAAACCAAAAATAAAAGTATGAGGATACTTGGTAAGAAGTTGAATGCCATTCTTTTAAAATAGCAAAAATTCATGGTAAGAATCAGGATGGAGAGTTGTTTTAAGTGAATGAATTGCACAGAGGTGAGAAGTTTGAAAGAGATCAGGAGCCAAGTCTCAAAGTGAACAAAAATGAAAAATCCTCTGAGAAGTTCCACAGAAGCTTATTTAAGTAATAACAGAAACCCCCCCAAAAATATTGTTTATTAAATAAAGGTTCTGGAATGTATGCATTACCTTAACAACGGGATTAAGCAGAACAACGCCCGACTTCTTTGTAATAACTTGCTTTGTTGTGTAATGATGTTCTATGAGCTGAGGAATAGTTGGAAACCCAGTTCCCTCAAAACGATATTGATTCTGTATGGACACAAAAGGAAAACCTTATTTCTCTATAAGCAATAGTTTGAACAAGAAACTGCAAAAGTGCTTGACCAAGCTTTCTTCACTAGTAACCACACAAAAAAAAAATAATGTACACTTTTATAGTTATTTTACATTCCATTTCTGACCTATTGAATAGCATTTATACTAACTTAACCTGAATGATAGTTATGAAAATGATAAATTAATAAATGCAAAATTACTTCATCAATCACTTAAGGCAATATGATAAAATAACTCTATTTAAACTATTTTAACTATATAAACTCTTAATTTAAATAGATAGGGCTGTTAAAATCAAAACTATTACAGAGTGAAATAAAAATATTGTAAACCAGAAAAAACAACACCAACTTCTTATTTATTTCTAAAAATTACAGCAACCCAACTAAAAAATATATATGATAAAATACTACAAGAGATAAAATAAACAGGAGATATGCAATGCTATCCTAATCTCATCTTTCTTCATTTATTGTCTTGTAAAATTAGTAAAACCCTGCAATAGAGTATAGAATGCATGACTGGTCTTTGATAAAGAGTATTTATCAGGAATGTCTAAACGAGCTAGACACAAAGGCAGGTGATACACAGGCTTCAAACTGAAGTTGGGCAGGACCTTGCAGCTGATTGTGAAACACAATTAAGTCTCCTGCTTTAGTAAGTCTCAGTATCTACAGAGAGTTTTTTCCCACAAGGCAGTAGCTGCCATAAGCCAGCCTGACAATGAACAAGTACTGCAATTTAAAGAACTCAGAGCACAGATGGTGATTCAAGTTCATTTACACAAATGGGCAATGAACACCTCTACCACTGGCAAGCCTTCTTTCTAGCTCCAAGGGCTGAATTCCTTGCATAGTGCATGCTAAATTCATTGTTTCCTTAAGGGTTAAAGCATTACCTTCCTGAAATGTGTCATTACTGTTGGTAAAGACAGCAGGGTCTTGTCAGCTGTTTTTAAAATTCACAGATCTCTACCATAAGAGTGTTTCCACAGTCTGAACGTTTTGTTGTTTATTAAATAGTGACTCAGCTTTGATTGACCATTAACACTAGTTCCCATTCCTTTCAAATAAGCTCCTTCATACTTCTGTGCTGATCCAAAAAACTTGCTCTGAGTCTCCTCAGCACAACCACCACTACTGCCTATTATTTCCTCATTCCAGAGCCAGCCACTGCCCATTTGCTTCCATTTACGTAAAACCTTTAGAGAAGCCAGTGTCCTTTCATTCTGTGTATTTACACCTAATCCTGACCCTTATTAAGATCACTAACAAACCAATATGTTAAAATGGCACAGCCTCAAATAAGCAGAAGTGAAAACAACGGTAGCCTTGAATGACAGCAGTAAATTTTGATGCCTAAAGCTGAATGATTAATTAATTTATCATGTAGTTGTATCAAGATTAGCTTTTAAAGTAATCATAAAACCAGACACAGAACACTTATACAATTAAAGGATTGCTGTTAAAACTGATGTCCTACTCTAATCTTCAGTACTTAATTCAGAAGCAAATATGGAAACCTGTCAATGATCCAAGAGTCAGAAACTGGTTTTTGACCAGTCAGAAACCCAAGTCCACATAGTTCATATCAATGTAAAAAACAAACAAATCCTTTGTACTAAACTCTCCTAAAACTTGTCTACAAAAATGTTCATGAATAAATCCATCACTATATGACCTTAACACTCCAAATACCTATTTTCTAGAACTTAATAAACTTTTTTCTCATTCTCAGAAAATTCAGCCCATAGGAATGCATACAGAGGACTGAACATCTTTAAGGACAAAAAAAAAGTGTTAGCTTCCATGACTGACAAGAAAATCTACTATAAATTAATCCCAAGAGCAGATGAACATAATGCTTTATTAGTAAATGTACAAGCAGATAAGTATCTTGACCTGACAATGTTGGGACTGTCCAGGCTATGCAACATTAAACAGTATCAGTCTCATATTTCAAATTTAACTGCTAAGAGAAAGTACAAAACTATGGAGAGAAAGATAGCTTCTTTTGTTTTGTTTTGCTTTGGTGGAAACCCCCCCCCACACACACACACAAAAGAGTCAGCTTATTGGCATACCCTGAAATAATAATTGGAACTTGGACTTGAAAGTCCAAGCTATCTTTTTCAAGATCTTCTTGCACAAACAATGATTTGCACAAAATTATTTGAGTTAGACTACATATATAATGTGCTTTTATTTCTGCTGGGTCAGATCAGGGTGCACCAAGCACCTTTTAAGACTCTAGGTATAGGTCATTTTTTGCTTTTATTTTCTCATTTTGCACTCTGACACATCAAAATACTTTAAGGTCATACAATCAAAATAAAAGAAACACTGACTGTGTGTTCACTTTTACAAGGAAAATTCTAGATGATAACTAATGAACACTCTCCAGTGTGACAAGTGTCTATAATCACTAATCCTAGAGAAGCATTCCAACTTCTGTGAAGTTTGAAAAATATCACTGCTTCTCGAAAGAAAATAAACCAGGTACACATTGAGTTACCCCAGGCATGCTGCATCATCTGGGCAGTCACACAATGAAATTTCCTCAGTGTATTACCATTATGCAATTAAATTTGAGAATTCTTCTATACATGGGAAACGTTATTACAAGAGACTGAAGAGACAACACTACTGAATCAAAACTGAGCATGATTTGCTGCAATTTCATACTTCAAGAAATATTTCTAGCAATGTTATGGGAACTGTCACATTTTTAATAAGTTTAAAATTCTGCAAGGTATAAAGAAAAATGTATACATTAAAAACCCCAAGCAATGCATTAAGAAGAATAAAAAAAACCCTACTGTATAAAGCTAGATGATAATTAATATATTGTTCATTAAGTCATCAATTTTTCCTCAGAGCAACAAGGGAGTCAATTCTAGTCCTTAGAAGCATACACACTGTACAACATCCAAGAGTGTTTGTGTTACACTGAACAAAACAAGAACCACGGGACTAAAAAAAAATAAGCATTGCAAATGCAACAGGGACTTCAATTCCCATGTGTATAAAAATAAACACAGATTATTTTCTTCTGTATGGTTGTTTCCATTTTTCAGGAAGATGCAGTGCTGTCTTTCCAGTCTGAACTAGAAGTAGCCTAATTTACACCAGCTATAAAAATGGGTAACCAAGTAATCGATAACCAAATGTAAATGCATAAATAAAGAGTAACAATTCTCAGATTGCAAAATATTTACAGAAATATCTTGGCTTTTCATTATAAAACAAAAGATACTGAATAACCTGATACTTCATACTTTTCCTTTGTTTCCCAGAATGACCTTTACCCCCAGTTCCAGCACTGATGGAAATATTTCTAACAGCTTTAATATTTGCACATAAAGGCTATATCTATTTGCTATAGTAAACTATTTAGGTCCTAAATTGAATATTCAGTACTATATCAGAGACGTACATCAGCATATTGTATGATAAAGTGTCTCCGTTGTCCATCTGAAAACACAGAAAGGACATATTCACCAGGTTTCCCGTGGCTCTCTCGCACCAAGAAGTCTCCTTGCTGTTTTAACAGCTCCTGGGCTTCTATTCTTGGAATTGCACCATGATACCAGTCTTGCTCAGCCAATGGTTTCTCAGTGGTTGAGATTACATCAAAGAACTTGGGAAAAATATTGAAGAAAAATGTTACTATAATTGTACACTTTTAGAGTTTACTTGTACATGGAAAGTATCACAAACAACAATAATTTCTGTTTTATGTATCTAAATAATGTATTTCTATTAACCAACAAGATCAAGGCTCTTACAGCTCTTACACTTGCACAAAAGCATATTGATCACCGTCTTTTCTGTTTACCTGAAAAATCAACATATCAAAAGCAGAAGTTTAAGGAATCATCCATAAAACCATGCAATATCTTTTATCTGGCTTACTATTTTTTGTAAGCCATACTGACCAACTTCTTCTCACACATTCTGACATGCTACTTACAACTGAAAATAATTTCTTTATCCAGACAGAAACTTCTCAGGCACAAAACCATAATACTCATACAAAGCACTTGAATCGGATAAACTGTTTTCACAGAATTTAACAATTGTATCCCAAATCAATTAAAAAAAAAATTATGTGCTTTTTTTCCTAGCATGTACCCTGTAGTGCAGCATACACACCTGAATGTAGTGTCCTTATGATAAGACACAAAGATTATAAGGAATTGTCTTCACTACATGGAATTGGCTGCAAATGGAAGCTACTAGCAATAAGTGGAAGTTAATCAGTTTTAATCTATGATTTCACACATTAATTTAAACATGCCTACATTATTTAACAAAACACTGAAGAAAACTTTATATTTTGTCACTGACCACTTCTGATTTATTTGTTATGAGTAGGAAGACAAGCCCTCATTTAAGCTGTATGTAATTCAAAAGCATTGCCAGAGCTCATAGAAATTCTCAGAGCCAGAGTGGTAAAACTGTGAATGACAACACAGTTCACACTGTGAGTAGAACAGGTATGTGAATGTTCTCCAGCCTCCTGAATTGCACCTAGGTAACAGCATGGAGATCTACATCTCAATGTAGGATAATTAAACAGATGCAAGCAAAGCAACACCATTCTGAATTAACCTCTGCTATTGCTCTGCCCTGGTAACAACCCAGGTTGGAGGCCATCCATACATTTAAGGTTCTTCTCAGAAGATACTTCAATTATAGTACCACACCTAGTCCAAAAAAACACTAGGAATGGTCTCAGACTCTGAGAGTGGAAATGAGCAGACCCAAGAATGGGAATCTACACAGAAATCCTTGTTTCCAAATATCTTCAATTCTTTAGTACTTGGATACATTTTTAGCTGTTAAAAAAAGTCTTTGTTGGCTTCTGGTTGCCTAAGTTATACCTCAAAGGACCAGTTTACTCCAAAACTGATGGAAAACTGGAGAACATATTTAAGAACCTGACAGACCCTTGCGCTCTCAGATATCAACAGAAAGAGAGAGAATCATCATGGATTAAATTCTCATCAAGGAGAATTTCGGACCTGAGATTTGAAACAAGCACTTATAACCAATATGCTGATCACTAGAAAAAGTGTGGTCTGTTACAGAGTCAGAGACAGGAAGCACTATTTAAGAAATAACTACAGCTTGAACACAAATTGCACAGTTTTTAGAGGCAAAAGCTCTACTCCAACGTTATGTGTTTATCAGCACAATGAGCTGCTAAAAAGCAGAGATACTGATTGTCCAAGAAGGTAGTCATATCTTTCAATTTCATCATCAGTTAAAAAACATCCCAGGTGAAAAATGTTCACCATTGTAAAATGACAATATGACATTTTCTTTCACAAATTTCTAAAAGAAAGAGAAAAGCTTTCAAAATGCTAAGACAATGTGATTTACTTAAATATTTATTTCAAGTAAATATTTTATTTATTTATTTATTCAGAGATTCTGAGTTTGACTTGAAAGAAAACCTCTGTTACGCTCAGAGCAGCAAACCCTTCAAGAGGAGCAGATTCCTACCTGAGAGGGAATGCTCCTAAGGATAAAAGGACAGTATAGGATAACTAATTTAGTTCATGGCCTTAATGAAAGAAAGTTTAAAAAAAAAAAATCAACCTGACATGCAATTTATTTTATAGCCTAAAAAGGAAGCCACCAGATTGTAACATTTGCTTATGTACAAACTGGGTGCAGGCTGAGGCACCAAACAATCAGGATCAAATCTTAAAACAAAGTATCTTAAGGACCTTTATGACAAAAGAAAAAGTTTATGGAAAGAAAACAGAGCATTTTAGACATAGATAACAATGGTATTGTCTATAACTCTCCCATTAATTTTCCCCCTCTTTGAAATTTGACTGAAGTGTTATCTATTACTTCAGAAAGCAACAGTGGAAATTCCATGGAGTTTCTCTGTTGATTGTTGTTCACTTCACCTTACCTTGATTTATCATATCAAGGCGGTTTTTCTGATGAAGTAAGTGGCAATTACTCTTGAATGTTATTAAAATCTCATTCTTGTTATGAACAAGTCTTCTGATTCTAACATATTGTTTCTATGATATAATATTGACCCTAACTTGCTAAAGAATGAAACATGGCTGAAAGCCCAGAAAAAACAGTACCAATGCACAATATATAACTACTTTAATATTGATTTCAACTCAGTTTACCACCATTAGTACTAATATTTCTACTTCATTTTATAGTTTGAATTAGATGATAGATTGGTGTTTAAGGAAAACAGGAGGAAAAATAAAAGCTACCTGCACAAATTGAAATTCCCACCTCTTTTCTTTAAACTCTACTTAAATATCAGCCAGAAAGTTAATATGACAAGTTTATATTCTAGACCTTAATGTTTTACAATCTCATTTGGGTGCTGGATCTCTTGCTCATTTGTATGTACACTTACAGAAGCACTCCATGATTCAATAGCCTAAAGGAAGAAATATTGCTTCTAGGATTTTTGTTGTTAATTTTGCTGGAAGGTAACAATTATTAACCAAACCATGCAGAAAGAAAGGAACTCACACTGCAAATTTCAACTCTCCCTCTTTTTTTTTTTTTTTTCCTTTGTCTTTTTTCCCCTTAAGATTTCCATTTATTGCCATATTTCACCCATTGATTATTGGGTGAGGCTGGGGGGGGTGGGTCCTTACATATTTAAGCACACTTTTTCTTCTACAAGGAGATGTATGTCTCATGTATTTCATCATGCTCCTCATGGATCTAGTACTGTCCACTTTCCTTATACTGAGCCCCTTTCTCTCTCCCTGCTTAACAATCCATTAAAACATATGCTCTTCTCCAATAGCAGAAAGAAGCAGCCCTCAGCTGCTTCCCTTATTTCAAGAAAAAAAACTGAGCAAACAGCAATGTGTCATTTTAACTCAAAAAAATTGTGTATTATTCCTGCACTTGCACTAACAATTAAATAAAAAAAATAATGGGAATGATATTTTATTATACTTATAGCATGCTCAGTATTGTATTTTTGTATATGTTCTGAATGCAAATGTTCAATAATCCCTTATTTTCTATCTTTGAGCAAACAAAACATTTTCTCAAGGTATTTTTTCTTTCACAGTGTAAAAGAGTAGCACTGACACTAATGGGAATCCAAAGCAATAAATTTAGGTTGACAATTTAAGACAATACCCTACAGATTATTCAGTCTCTGTGTACCTGGCTCATTCCCACAGCATAATAATACAAAATCTGAAACAAGCATGAATTCCACTTATTATCCTCTAAACAGTAAAAGAAAAAAATCCTGTTGACAAAAGCAGATGTTTGTGTCAAGCTCAAATGTCTCATACAAAAAAAAATATGCAGAAGGGCAGAAGCTGGTATTCATGATGCAGTCTGTTCAGACTCTTCATTCAGATTATTCACAGCATTTCATTACCAGTACATGAAAATTACCCCCACTGTTGTGTTTCCTCCCCTCATTTGATTAAACTTACATCTCTTGCTGTTATAGAAAATTGGCTTGCATTTTGTCCAAGAAAAACTACCTAAATCCTCTTTCTTTCTCTTCAAGCAACACTTTTTTCCTGTATTACCTTCTCATTCTGAGAGCATGCATAGAATTTCAGTGTCAACACACAAAAACTCCTACTTGCTTTTAGAATGGCAGAGTTTCCCTATGGCTTTTTCCAGATGCTATACAAAAAAATTAGTCCTCTCAAATTTCTACAAACAAAATTCAATTTATCCACCAATTAAAAATACTAGACAGTGCTTATAATATAGCACCACATTTAAATCATGATATTGTTCCATTTCTAAAGTTTTAATATATTTAAAAATTAAATACTTAGAAATACTTTAAAAACTTTAAATACTTAAAACAAATAATTTGTAAACAGGTAGTATCACATTTTAGACTAGACTATATGGGAGGATCAGTACTGGTTCTTTTCTGAATCTGCTTTGACATCCTTTTTTGTACTGGTCTATTTAAAAAAAATTAAAATGTTACATTTATGTTAATATTACTTTATAATACACATTCAATAATCACTTTGAATATTGATGCATAATAAGTTTTAAGTACTAATTTATATATCTAGCAATTAAAATTATTATGTAGCTGTCAGCAGGAAAGAGATGACCACATTTAATAGCTAAGTACTAATTCATTAAGCAAATTTAAGCTGTATAGATATGGTCAGCTTTTCTAACACAAAATCACTAAATCAAAATACAAAGCAAAATTGAAAATTGGCTAGTTTATGTATTCTAACTCTGAAGTAATTTAGTTGTCATTCTGGCAACAGGTAATCAAGATTGCATTTGTTACTCAGGTTTTACTTTCTGACTCAAATGAACCAATGCCAATCTTACTTCTTACTAATATATTCCAAGGTTTCACCAATCCTATCTACCATATATCTACAGCCAGATTTACATCAGCTTCCATGAAATGAAAACAGTGTGGCACATAGACTACTGAAAATGACACTTTAAGCCAACTGACATTTTGACATTGACTTTCCCTGATTTAATCTAAGCATTTTATTTTTATCTTCCTCTTGAGATATTTTTTCTCTTCCAATTTTTCTCTGAAGCAGTTTTAAATATGGTATTTTCTGTGGTTTGTGGAAGCTTTTTGGTTTACTTTGAAGTCATAAGTTTTATAATACATAGAAATAGAATACATAGAATGCTGTGCCTTACCTACATAAAGAGGTGAGATCTTATAAAGAACAGAGATCACAGAAATATACATTTTAATCAGTTTTTAATATGAACTGCTGCCTTTTTACCATAACTAGAACTTTAATAAAATGAAGATCACAATAATGTGGAGATTTTGTTTAACATCAAGGATATTTTAATATTTTAGCAAGGTTTTTCCTGTTAGTTTTTGAAATGCCATGCAATTCTCATGTTTTTCAGAGGAAATGCCTTTCCACCCTAATTATATCTCATGATCATACTTATTTTTCCATTCCTCCATCACTATGTACCTTGTCCTCTGTATACACATGTATATTTACATATATGTAATTGTTATCTGTTCCACCCATTCTGAGTACTATCTAGCCTAAATATGGTTTGCCATGTCCTTTAACGGGTCCTTGGATGCAATTCTGCAGCATAAAACACAAGACCCGCTCCTTCTGAATTTTTCTCAATAATGCTACTTTGAGATTGTATTTCAGGTGACAAGATCACAATTAAAAGGAAAATTTAAACAATTTTTAAAACTTCACCCAATGTTCTTCCAGTTTTTTTTTTCTTTTGCTTGGTTTGTGAGTTGTTGTTTTGTTTTGATTTTAAGTTGGGAGGGTTATGGTGATCACATGTTCCACTTCAAGACAAAGGCAGAAGGTTTTCAAGTACAATCTGACACATCCATAAGTAGGTGCTCAAGGATTCTAACTGATTGTGCAAGCTTCCATAGGAAACAAACAGAAGGAAATACAAAGTAGAACAAACAAGGACATTTGTCCAGCAATTACAGAATTTGAACAAAAGCTAACTACACCTCAGAGATACTCAACAATTATTTTTAGAGTGGTTTTAAGCAAGATTACTTTAAGTAATTTAAATAGTACCAGCAGTAGTAGCACTAGTAACAATATGCTTATACATTGGAGCTTTTTATAAAAAAATATGGGTAATACAATTATTGCAACAATTGGTAAAACATGTATGGCCACCTAACGTACTACAGATTATTATCATAGAGTGCATTTCAAGAAAATCTGCCTCGTTGGGAAGAATATTTTGAACAATATAGCATCACTCTGGGAGCTGCAAAGAACATACAAACTGTGATTCTCCCAAGTGTGGCAAGTTGTTTTGACATACCACTACACTATGATACTATCCTGTATGCTGATCAGTCAGCACAGTGTTTATATAACATTATTTTAACGTAATTTTTCCATTCAAATAGAAATACATGATGTTTCAAGGACAAAGAAATCTTATTTAAGGTGAAAAAATAACAGAATATATCCCAACACTACAATATTGGTACTACTTACCGATGATGAACCCAACATGGATTTTGGAGACCTTATAATTCCAGCTATGGAATGACGTATAGTGTCAAATCTTGAGACTTTATCCTTCTTGTCCTAGGAGAAAGGCCAGAATCTTTAGTGAAAAAAAGCAGATCTATAGGATCAATGATTTATTGGAGAATGTGCAATATAGAATCCTGAATTTCACTGAAACAAAAGATAAGAACTTAACTGCTACAAGCCAGAAAGTGTCAATATCAGCAGGATTAGGCACAGACCAATTTAACCACTTACAAATTCTGTATTTCCTAAAATATTTTGTGCAATTATTTGAACTATAAAGAAAACTGAAATTCTTTTATACACCAAAAACAAGAGACATAACTCCTGTTCTCCTGAAATACCTCAAATTTTAAAGGGACAAGAATTTGAAAATATGCAATAAAAACCCCTACACAGTAAAAAACTATATATGTGCATTATCCTTACTAAATATTTTTAGGGCTTTTCCCCTTTATTAACAGGTTCTTCTCTAACAACAGACTACCTGTAAATATTAGCTTCCATTAGTTCAAGTAATAGGAGCCATTTCTCTTCTGACATTACTGTACACTGTAAGTGCCACTGTCACTTCTGACAAGTCACTGTCTGAATTTAAAATTCTGCTAGAATGGGGCTCTGACAGGAACACTGAAACTGCCTTTAATCATCTCTAGTTCAGCAGAACTCAATATAAATTCCAAGGTCTCATAAGCTGACGTAGTCCAAAGACTGTATTTTTCCTCATCTCTTACAATCAGCTCTCAAATTAATAAAAACTTAAAAAAAATAAAAAGTATTGTTAATTTTAACATGGACAAACTGAGTTTATTGCTTGTAAATCTCCTTCAGAAACAGCAAAGATACTTCAGTGAGTACTCACAAAGTATATAAACTTGAAGCAGAAAAATCATATATTAACAACCTCATTATAATTAGCTTTAAGTTAACTAAACAGTAAAAAACCGATAATGAAGACAGACTACTACTGTTTGCCAGTGTTACAAAGAGAAATTGCTTCCAAGTTTCCAATGTATACTTTTGACAGAAGACAACAAAGCTCTCATAACATAAGAAATGCAGCGTCAGTTTATTCCAGGACTTCCAAACAAGCAACAAATCTGCACTCCAAATTTAGCAGTCTTTGAAAAGTAATTCCAAATAGAGTTTTATTTTACAAGATACAGGTTAAATGCTCTTTTAGCAAAATAACACTATTTATTTGGTAGCAGAAGTCTACAATTTGCCCTAACTTGTACGCTATTGAATAAAAGAGTGCAAAAAATATCTATATTGTGAAAACTATGATAGGGAGCACATCTGCCACAGAAATACTCATTAACTATGTGCCCACTTACTAATCAATAACATTTTTATGCCTTTTATCAGACTCAAGTATTGGCATCTACTAAATAATTTAATTTTAGTAAAACAATTCTGTCCTGAAACCTGATTTTTATTTTTATGATGCTGCTGAATTAAACTGCTTACACAAAAAAAACTCAAAAACCCCCCAAAACAACCAACCAACCAAAAAAAAAAAGCCCAGCAACAAAAAACCAAACAAATCCAAACAAAAGAAAAAACCAAAACATTAACAACTAAAGACACAAAGTCTATATTACCTAACGTGCTGGTTGTGGAATGACCCACTTCACACATCTCTGAGATCTAACACCAATTAAATGTATACTTCTTACATAACAGGAGAAAATAAGTTACCAAAAGATACACAAATTCTACTTCACTTCCCACAACCAAAACTCAAGAGTTCCATTTCAAGTGAGCTCTAGAAGTGTTCACTTATCTAGCAACAACACCGAACTACAAGTAAGGTTCTACATTCACCAATTTCTCATTAACAAAAAAATATTAACAAGAGGGAGCTTTTTTGACTCAAAATATCAGATTCAAGGCCTGTGACAACTTTGATAAGCACTACTGAATGACATACAGAGGCAAACAGTTCCATTAAACAGAGCGAGTATTGAAATGTGGATTTAAGGGATAAACTTTGGCTTTGTTCAAAATATAGCACATGTCCTGTTCCAACTGCAGTACATTTATGAACACCATTTAGCATTTCCACAGCTCTTTCCTCTGACACATTGAAACTAGTCTGTATCTTACATCAATGAAGATTCAGAATTTGCACAGCAGGCATAACCAAATATATGACAAAACACAACTGTAGCCAGCACTGAGTTTATTTATTCCATTCAAGTATTTTTAGGGCAACCTAGATAAAATTAAAGAGCTACAACAGTGGTCTTGTTCTGACTTTTTTTGCCATTGCCCAGCTGCAGTGTGCCTTAGAAGGAACTATTTGACCTTGCAGGAAACCTGTTTTTCACTCAGAATATTATATAAATCAGTACAAAGGGATTTTTAATGCACATTAAATACGTTTCTTTTTCTAAACTAGTGTATAACTGCAACCCAGAACATCCCATCTACTTCTTTTAAAATGTATGTATTCATGTACATATGTGTGTAGAATCTTACTAATTAAATCAGGGTGTTTTAAGTCTGATTTACAAAATAAAAGCAAATACACATCACAGCAATCTTTCAGCAATCTCTCCCCAGCCACATCAAATTTTGAACCTCCCCACCAAGATCCTCTCAATTCAACAAAGGATTTAGTAGTTGCAAGGATTATTTCAGGGTATTAAGTAATTTCAAATTTCTGCAGGAACCTAGCAGAGAGCAGAGATACTATTCACTCAGGAAGTTCGTTACAATTTCACACAGTGCTCATTCCAACAGACATCATGTCACCAAACAGAACAAACATGCCAAATATGTAGTCATGACAAAAGTTTCAAAGTTATAAGACACGTGACTATCAGACTAACAAACCTGCGCTAGACACATTATGGAGTATTACACTTACTAGCATACAAAATGCAGCTACTAAAACATATTAGCTGATTCAGTTACATTTCCACTTAAATTAATTACTTTCAGAGACATCATGAAAATGGTAGCATGATTTCTCACTTCTTTATTTTATACAGCGCCAATTTCATTAGAAAGCAATCTAACATGTAAGTTGTAATATTTTATGCAATAACTGAATTACTACAGAAACTACCATTAAGAAGCTAGGTATGTATGCAAATACAAGCTGTCATTAGAAAACATTTACATCTATTTCTTTTAAGTGCGTTTAAACACACCTGGGTCACGAGAACACATAATAAAAAAAAATCATGGAAAATGCAGGACTGATATTTCCCTTTTTAGGACTAGACATCTGGACTTCCCAGAATGAATTAAAATTAACTATATAATAAACTAGATGTAACAGAGGCAGGGTATATCATCAGGTTTAACAATTGGTAAGCTGTGGGATGAGATGTCATCCCACTCACACCACTGAGATGCCCTGGGGTAGCCAGAACACCTGAAAGAACACCATGGAATTTCAGCCACTCCAGACACAAAGTCAGCTTCGCTGGGAGCCCACTGAAATGCCTCTATGCTGATGCAGATATCTGTTGAGTAAACAGGAAGAAACGGGAGATGAGGTCACGCTTTCAGGGCTATGACCTTACTGGTACCACTGAAGCATGGTGGGGCAACTCCTATGAAGTGTTGGAACAGAAGGATACAAGGTTGTTCAGTTTTCTTTCCTTCTTAAAAGGTGAAACAATTACTTCAGCTTTTTTCAAGGGATGTCACAACAGAAGACAACCATTCTAACACTCTAAATTCCCCTTTCCATTCTTTCTCTTCTCACAAATGACAAAAAGGAGAAATTAAGCATAAGAAAAAAGAAGCACAGGATGTCAGTTGAAAACCACCAAGTGAAGCACCTGCTATTTTACTTGAGGATTTCCTAAATTGCATCTTTATATATGAACAGAAACTGGGCTTCTGTGTTTCCTGTGTTCTCTTTGGGAGATCTTGTGCAGTGTGAGGTCCTGTGTGTTCTAGTAGATTTTTCATGACAATTCTATGGTCATGCCCTACAACTGATACGTTCCTGTGGACAACGAATCTCCCATTTGCCAAGCACACAGTCCTGTCACCGAGCACAATGACTGCAAATCTTAACAATGCATGAGAAATAAAACAATATACCCAGCAGAGTGACACAATCAAAAAGACAGACCAGATGAGTCATAGTCATAACAGTATTTTCAATGAACATAGGCAAGAAAAAGCAACAGGGAAAAAAAAGATTTTGTTTAAATGGAACTGTCTGATGTAAAAGCCCAGAAGAGTTTTTTAGCTGTATAAATTCAGGACTGGGGCTGTATATTTTAGATGTTACCATGAAAGAAAAACAGTCTATACTCTTTTTAGAAGAGCAATGAAGTAAGAGGCTGGAGAGAGATCTAAGATAAAGATAAAATAGAATTAATGCTTCCGAGGGACAGGCAGATAGTAACACTATCAATCAAAGACAGAAGATTATCAGCAAGAGACAAAGGACAATGCAGCATATATTGAATATTCCTAAAACACTAGTCAGCCATTTATGTACAGTGATATAAGTACACCCATACTCTAATATTATTCCATTCAAAGAAAATGCCTTATGAGTCAGATGAAGCATGTGAACTGTCCACATGGATACAGAAGTTGAATGTGGGCTTGGAAATTAAAACACAGAACCTCCACAGGAAATTTAGAGGAAATGTGACTATGACTTTACAACTCAAAAAGAAAATGCCCCCAGAAGAAAAGGAGATTTCAATTAGAATAACATAATCATTGATACCTAAAAGATGAGAGTGATATCACTGTTTCTGTGATTTGGCTAGGGAACTGGTCCTTGGATATTTTGATGAAGACTATTTCAGTACCGTACAAGGGCTCTAAGATAAAACAAGACAGGGGAATTTCAGCAATCACTGCAAATGATATGTTCAATGAACATACAGATGAAACAGGCATACAGACAGCATCTGCCAGAGTAATTAATACAGGTTTTGTAAAGTGAATGCTAGCTTCCTTTCTTGTTTAAAGATACACATTCCCTGATGAAAAAGATGCTGAACAACACTGATCTCAAGGCTTTAAATTTAGACACTGGGCACAACAAGGAATATTTTTGGTTTTTT